CTTTGTAGTAGAATGCACCAGACGAGATCAAGCTGAAGAAAATCATCAAGAAGAGAAGGATGGTGGACCCTTATGACTGATGGATCGTCATCAGAATCCAAAGGTTGTGGGGGGTGGAGTGATCCTCATGACGCCAGAGGGATTCAAGACGTAGCATGCATTGAAGTATCAATTTCCCCTTTCAAATAATGAAGCCGAGTACGAGGCCTTAAATTCTTGCCTCAAGATTGCGGCCAGTTTCAAGATGAAGAGACTGAGGATCAAAAGTGACTCTAAGTTAGTCATCAAACAACTCAGAGGGGAATATGAAGCTAAGGAGGAGCAGATGCAGAAATACAGAGACACGACCTTGGGCTTGATCAAACAATTTGAACAAACCGACCTCATTTGCGTTCCAAGAATGCAAAATGGGGAAGCTGATGTTCTGTCCAAGACAGCTCATGGCGCGCCAGATCACCTTACCCGAGTAGCTAGAGTGGATGAGCTTATTAAGCCTATCACAAATGCCACCAAATCCCAAGAAGTGCCCCCAATGACATTAGCCCCAAGATGATGGGTGGATAACCTTATCGATTATAAAGCAACGAGAATTCTCCCACAAACCGAGAAAGAAGCTTGCATGGTTCGACAGTGAGCATCGAGTTATGTAATTCAAGACAATAAATTATATGAGAGGAGTTACAATGGAGTTTTACTCAAGTGCCTCATATCGGAACAAGCACAAACAGTCATGCAGGAGTTGCACACGGGGGGGGGGGGGGGGGTGTTCATCACATCAAGGTGCATTCACTCTGGGCTACAAAGTCAAATTGCAAGGGTATTTTTGTCCAACCATCATGAAGGATTGTGCTAAATTTGCATGAAGATGTGAAGTGTGCCAGAAATTTCAGGTAAGTCCCGGACGACACATTGAATGCGATCCAATTTTATTTAGCCTAGAAGGAATCAAGTCTTTGGAATAATATTACTATAGCATTACACCAAGTCACCAACAAGATACTTCTTGTAATTAGCCTAAAAGGAATCCGTCTTTGAAATAATCTTAATGCAAACCCATCGTCATTGAAATTCTCACATACACCTAACCCGTCATAATTAGCTCTTACCGTTGGAGTAATACACCATTAGATAGTAATAATGATTTAGTCATAGTGTTATTATTATTACGGAGATAATATGAAAAGGCATATTTAAAAATTAGTACAAAAATATGCATTTTGTTAAGTTAAAAAAATTAGAAATGAGAAATTTTAACGACACATACATACTGAAAAATATCAACTTTAAAAATTACATGAGAAAATTAATCATTTCTTAAAATTAACAAATCAAAAACATTAAATAAAATAAATATACCAAATTTAACAATATAATATCAATAAAATAAATATACTAAATCAAGCAACATCAATTCAAAATAAATAAAACCACTTATGGGAAATTACCTTTGTAACTTTACTTTACCGTAGGATTATTAATTAATATAATATATCAATAACCCAATATGTGCACATCATACGTGTATAAAAATGTGTACACCAAGGCTCATAATATCTTAGTTCTTAGTTATTATGCATTCGTATGACAATAGTACTACCTCTGTCTCACTTAAAAGCTCATATTGTAAAATGACACGGTTATTTAAACAATAATAAAATAAAGTTGGTGAAATCCATAATAATATTCTCTACTTTAAGGGATGCTACAATAATAATCCCTACTCAGAGTGTCTACAAATATAATTCGAACTAGCAATGATGTTTATAAGAATAACTTGGGGTGAATTCAAATAAATGCTCGTTTAATACTCTTAATCCTTATTCTCACTTTTCTCTTGCCCCGCTATTCTTCTTGGGGCAAATTCAAACTAAAACTCGTTTATTCTCATTACCATTTCCACCAAATGTGATTTTCTCTAGGTGGAAATAAAAGTGCTAATCAAGAAAAGAGTGGTGAAGGAGAAAATGGAGGTAGGGATTGGAAGTATTAAATGGGCATTAGTTTGAGTTCGATTCAATTTATTCTTGTGGACACTAATGCTAGTATGGATTATTTTTATGGATACTCTCGGTAGAGATTATTATTGTAAACTTCATAAAAGTAGGGATTATTCTTGTGAATTTCGCCATAAATTAAATATATTTGTTAATTACCACTTTCGTTCAAACTTCTCCCCTTTCTAGCAACTAGCTTGTGTTGGCTAATTTGCTTGTCCAAACTAGAAGGAAAGACGCACCCCAATAGCAGGCTAGTACGTTCAGATATTTTAAAAATTGCAAGCAAATCCTTAGGAGTAACCATTGGAGATGCTTTAGTATATTCTTGTAGTTTTGATTTGGTAATTGTGTAATAATTGTAAGGTAATAGACATGATAATAGTGTCACAGTGGTAATGGTAATGGTATGTTTAGTTTTTCGTCAACATTAAACCATAAGGTGTTATATATATATATATATATATATATATATATATATATATATATATATATATATATATATATATATATATATATATAGGGTCGGGTTCTAATGAGAAGACATCTTAACGTGAGAAGTGAGAAGTTACACATTTACCTATTTCTGATGCACTTTTTGCGATGGTAGAAAAGTTCCGATTAATTACGGAAATGCCACCGTGTCTAGCATCACTTATTTAATATTTTTTGCACTTTCCCATGCACTTTTTTGCTAATCTGATGCACAGATCTTAAAATGAACGCACCAGATGCATTCTCACTTCTTACAATAAGCACTCTTCTCATTTGATCCTTATTCTCTCTCTCTCTCTCTCCCTCTCTCTCTCTCTCCCTATATATATATATATATATAGGGAAGAGATCAAATAAAAAGAGGTTCTCCTGTGCAAAGTGCGAACAATTTCACTTTTTCTTCACCGCGTTGCACTTTTGCGTGTTTCTGTTGCACTTTTTCGCGATGGCAAAAAGCTTCATTTTAATTACGAAATTGCCACCGCATTTTTGATCAAATTTAGTTCACATTTGGCTCATTTTGAGCCATTAGATTTCAAACTGAACGCACGAGATTAATTCTCACTTTGCATGGGAAGACCTCTTTGTATTTGAACCCTCCCCTATATATATATATATATATATATATATATATATATATATAGGGAGCAGATCAGGTGAGAAGTGTTCTTAGGCCGAGAACTGCAAAGTCTAACTTATAAGCTAAAAATACAAATTTTTAACCAATAAATCATAACTTATAGAACCCCTCGAAAATAATTACGAAAATGCCACCGCGTCAAAATAACTCCAGAAACCTTAAAAAAAAATTGACGCGGTGGCATTTTCGTAATTAAATGGAGAGCTGAGATTATTTCTCACTTCTCATCTTAAGGAGGACTTCTAACCTGATCCTCTCTCTCCCTCTATATACATATAGGGTGTGGTTCTGGTGAAAACGCTCCTTAACGTGAGAAATGAGAAAGCTCCAAAATGATGCACTTTACCGTTCACGAATGCACATTTATAGTTAAAGTAATTCAAAATTATAATGTGCACATTTACGTTTAAACTTTTGCATAGTTGAAATGCACATTTTCCAAATTTTCATATGCACTTTTATGTTTTACATGATGCACGACATCAAAATTTGACGCTCCAGAATCATTCTCATTTCTCTCATAAGATGATGTTCTCATATGATCCTTACTCTATGTATATATGTGTGTGACTGTGTGTGTGATAAAAAAAAGGGGTTTTCAGTGTTTGGCTTAAAAAATCTGAATAAATGTTTTGAAGTAAGAATTTGTGCTAAATTGATCACTTAAATGCTAAAGGGTGAAGGATTGAATGGGCCTTTGTACCAATCCGAAATGCTCAATTTGAAGTCTAAACTAAAAAACACTAATTTGCACACTGAACTTGATAAAAAGATTCAAATTTCACATTTTACGGGCAACAGTCCGATCACCGTCACATCACCCGATAAGGTGTCACATGTGCACCTGACATGGAACCTTAAGGGGTCAAATGAGCCCCTGAACCCAATCAAATTGTTCAATTGACCCCCTCAATCGTGAAAGTGTCAAAATTATGAAAAATACAAATAAAAAATTAAAAATAGAAAAGACAAATCTAACATAATCGTCAAGTAAGATACAAAATATAAATATGAAATATTTACATTTTTTGGTAAAGTCAAAATAAAAAGTAAAATGTAAACTTAAAAGAAATTTCATTCACTTTATTTCAATATTTGATATCTGTATTTTATATGTAAAAATAAACAATATATTTTTCACCAACTATGTTAAAATTTATGTTTTGTGTATTGTTTCTAATATTTTGTAATATAAACCATATTTTATGTTTTTGTTTGATAATTTATATGAAGTATTATATTTTTATATATTTTTTCCATTTGTAGTTTTTCCATTTCATATTTTTAATTTATTTAAAAAATATATTAAAAATATTTTATTTTGATATAATTAAATGTTGAGATAAGGATATTTTTAAAAATCATCACCACATTTTAGAAATTTTATTTTTTTGCAAACACTAGCTAAGGATGTTTTTACTTGGAATGTAATTTGCTGGGCTGGTCTGGTCTGATCTGGTCTAGTTTCTTTGTATTTTTATAACTATCAAAGTCTGGTCTGATCTGGTCTGATCTGGTCTGGTCTGATCTGGTCTGATCTGATCTGGGAGGAATTACACTCCAAGTAAAAACATCCTAAGAGTCCTAGCCATTTCCATTTAACTTATTGAAAAGCTAAGGTATGCTTTCTTTCCAAGTCTGACTCTGTATTAAAGAATGCAAATTTTAAAAATACGAGTAAAAGCGTCCTATTTTGAGAAGAAATAATGAACTCCTTTTCTAGAAATATTCTACTAGTTATTTTGATCGAAAGGGAAAGTGGCAAAATTTTTAGAATACTACAAAAAAAGGAAAGTTGGAAAAATTATAAGGGACGAAGGGAGTATTATTTAGATTCTCCATAATTAAAATGTACATGAATGAATTCACACCTGAAAGCCCATGCGATGAAAAAGATAAGACCCGGGGCGAGATTGGGCATGGCCGTGGCAATTGCTGGTGAGGTGAGATGGATACCCTTCATTTGCAGAGATTGGAACAATGTCACCCTGAAAACCAGGCACCAGCGCTCGATAAACATTCTTAATCTATATTTTATTATACTCAAATCAAATGAATACTTATTAAATAATTCAATAAATATTTAAAAGTAATAATTTTCTCCTTTCAAATAATTAATCTCTACATTCTTCTATAAAATGTTTCAATTTATTAGAACATTATTATACGGAGTGGTGGAGTATGAATTTAACTGCAACTCATATTCATATACTACCTTCGTTCTGGTGGACTTTGTCAAGTGCAAAGTAGATGAGAAATAAGAATAGTAAAGATTGTGTGGTTGAGATTTGTGCACAGGAGAGAGAAATGCGCAGAACTACAAATTAGTTACTTTAATAGGAAAGTGACAAAGTTTTTTGGGACAACCAAAAAACGAAAGTTGGCAAAATCCAATGGGACTGAGGGAGTACGATAGTATACATTATATTATATTATCATATTGTATAATTAATTAATTGATGTCAATGAGCTAAAAATAATACTACTAGTGCCCTATAAATATAGGGGGGCCATGGGAATTGGGGTCATGTTCTGTTTTACCTAATTTACATGCTAAAAGACGGCCCTGTATTTTATACTGTATAATATATAGAATTTTAAACTCAAATTTTGTGGAGATTATCTACACTTCATGAAGAACATGTTTACAAAATTTAATCAAAAAAATCCACCATAAATCTCCTCAAACGGGCTTAGCCGAACGACGGTTCCCGCCAGGCCAACCTCACATGAAGATTCATATAGGAATGATCCTGTCAGACCAGCCACACATGATCTGCCGTCCGGCCAAGGCTATTTGGGGCCTTTCCCATGGAATTTTTTGATGCATGTTTTTGAGCATGTTCTTCATCATTTGTAAACTATCTCAACAAAATTGTAGTGTACAATTCAATCGGGATGTATGTTAGTAAATAAAATTATCGTTATTCTCTTTCTCTCTCTCTCTCTCTCTCTCTCTCTCTCTCTCTCTCTCTCTCTCTCTCTATATATATATATATATATATATATATATATATATATATATATATATATATATATATATATATATATATATATATATATATATATATATATATGGTGCGGTTCCAGTGAGAACACTTCTTAACGTGAGAAATGAGAACGCTCCAAAACGATGCACTTTATCATTCATGAAAATGCACATTTATAGTTAAAGTAATGCGAAATTCTAATGTGCACGTTTACGTGTAAACTTTTGCGCACTTGAAATTCAGATTTTCCAATTTTTTATATGCACATTTCTATCAGACATTATAGATAATAAGTAAGAAAAAAGTGGACGGGAGGTCTCGTGCCTAGGGTTGGAGCGGCGATTTTGGATCGTCCGCATCTTTCTTCTTTGCACGGCAAACGCGGCTGGGATGGAGGCTTGCGACCTGGGAGTTTGTGACTTGGGCGAATGACATGGAGCAGAACGACAACGGAGTGGAAGCACTGGCCAACGCCTATGGACAGTTGGATCTGGAGGAAGAGGAGGAGGTTCTCGTGGTGGCACCAATGGCTCAGCCTTCAACGAAACACAATCTGACCATGGTGGGGACCATTACATCGGAAAAGTCGGTACGTTTTTCTCAATTTCGAGATATTATGGCATCTGTATGGAAACCAAAAAATGGTGTTTCCATAACTGAAATTGGTACTAGGAGATATGTTTTTCAATTTTACAATGAGGAGGATGTCACTAGGGTTGAGGAGGAAGGCCCGTGGCTGTTTGATCAGAACTTAATTGTTATGAGTAGGCTTAAGGAGGGAGATATCCCCATGTCTGTTCCACTTAATAAAGCAGTTTTTTGGGTACAAGTTCATGATATCCCAGTGGGATTTTTCACTGTTGACAATGCGGAACGCATTGGGAATTTTGTACGAACTTTTATAAAAGTTGATGATAATAACTTTTCTGAGAAGTGGGAATCCTTTATGAGGATTCGTGTTTGTATTGATCTGGGGAAACCTCTGAAAAGGAAATTGGTTTTGCAAAAGGGGGAAGGAATCACTTTCTGTGTCACGTTTTGCTATGAGAAGCTACCTAGCTTCTGTTTTCTGTGGGGAATAATAGAGCATGCAGAAAGTCATTGCCCACGTAAACAACGGGGCTACGAAGTCTCTGGGGAAAAACCTTTTGGTCCTTGGCTTAGAGCCACAAAAGGGGCAAAACCGTGGAAAGAAAATAAATGGCTTGTTCCAGCGGGGAAAGGAATCAGATTTGACAACAAGCCTACCAGAGGAAACAAAGAGGACAACAGGCGACCAAGTACTGGGGAGGGTGGGCTCTTATCACACGAGAGGGGACACATTGAGTAGAAACGAAAGCGTGTGGAGGATTCAGCAGAGTACCAGAATGGGGAAGATATGGACATTGCTACACATCTGTAGCTCGCCAGGCACAGCAGTGAGGGACCCTGATCTGAAGCTTATGGAATTTAATAAGGTCGAGGGCCACGTGAACTTTATTGATTTTTGTTGCTTTTCCTTTTATGGTACTCTTGTTGATTTTGTTTGTGTTTGGAACTCTAGCGGTAGGTTGAGGTTTACCTTCTCTTTTTTGCTTTGGGATACTATTGTTGGTGGAAGCGATAAGGCTTGTTTTGCCATTAAAAGCTTTGAAACTCTCACATGTTTCATGAATAGTCTCGCTCTTTCGGGAGTGGTCTATTCTAAGTCTAGCCAGAGAGTGGGGGGGGGGGGGGGCTTTGGGCTATGCAGAGCCTCAAGAAGAGGTTTGGCGAGGTAGGGAAGATAGTACTTTTAGAGGTTTGTGTGAGAAGGTTGGGCGTTGTAAGGGGGGAAGTACGTTGCGATCTTTGATTAATATAATATAATCAGTTTCCTTTCAAAAAAAATGCACATTTCTGTTTTACTGATGCACAATGCCAAAATCCAAAGCTCCATAATCATTTTTTATGGTACCATTAATCATTACCATGACCCAAGATTGAAATAAAGCAAAACCCATCAACGGGATCAGCCCTTCACAAGATTAATATTAATTAGCCGCTGAGCCTAACTAGGGTTCCAGCCCACAAAAGGACTCCACAACCAGGCCAGGCTGGACAACAGACCTCGAACCTGGGCGGAGTTCTAGTCCACAACTAGGCTGGACAGCAGACCTCGAGCCTGGGTGGAGTTTTAGTGAGCCCGGGATATTCCTAGGGCTTACGTGGCAGGTTGTTATTCCAGCATAGTTATCTAGCAACATCAGGAACGTTACAAGAGTCTTATACTAGAATACTAGTTCATGTAGCCTATAAATACTCTTGTACATCTCTTGTATAGGGAGCTTTTCTCGATTAATAATACATCCATTACTTTCTTTCCTACGAGCATGAATATTTGATTGATTAAGCTCTTCTCGCTGGAATTATATTCTATCACTGGTGCTTTCGTTGAGAGCTTTGAACACAATCAAGTGAGAAAATCTCCCAAAAACCAAAAATTCACACGAATCACTGAAGATCAGTCAAAATATTTGTGAAAATTCAAGAGAAAAAGATGGAATGGTCGAGATCCGAGGCATTCCCAGCCGGATCTATGCTGACCGATGGACCGGAGCAGCTCAAGGAGGAACCAGATCCGACCCAGTCCAATGACAGGAAGATTGCTCCTCCTCCGGTGTGGCACTAGCTCCTGTCGCTCTTATCTCGTTCATCTGTCTCCATCACAGCGCCCTTTCCAGACGTAGTTCTCTCTAGCTTCACGAACCGTATCCGTCATTAATGGCCTGTGGGAAGCTCTGCTAACGAACTACAACCCAACGTAAAGAGAGCTTGCGCCATCACTACGGAAGACTAGAATTCTGGCCATTGACGCAGCTCAAGGAACCCGCCGGTGAAGGATTCCCCACACTCGAGCTACGCCGCGAGGAGGGCCTGCAATTGCAACCAGACCTCTTCAAAACCCAGTGTTGGCGACGAATATGGAAGAGAACCTGTCTGGGCCTCCCTTCTCTGGCCGGAAACAACGACATCGCCTTCCACTCCTGTTGACAGCGGTAGTAGATGACTGGCGGTCAGCTGCAATGCAAATAAGCGGCTCCCCTCCTTTTCCGGCGGCCGCGATGCAAATAAGCGGTTCCACCGAATGACCTGCCCACATCGTTTGAAGAAGGGTCTGGGGAATGGACTTCTATTGACTCAGTCAACTATTAAAACTTGGGTCAAGAGGGAAGTAGTGGGCCAGGTCATGTCTGCCCCAATCAAATATTGCAACAGGCCCAATTTCAGGCCGTTATTTTTAAGCCCAAAAGCTAAGTCCTCTTTAAATCTCATATATGGAATATTACAATTCCAAAAACAAATCTGTTAAAAGGACATTATAAAATCATAATAAAAAGTATAATTGATATAATATCACTTTGAGCTCGGGGGCTAGTCGTCCCGAATATCAAATTCGAACTACACAACCCGAGTGACGAGTTGAGTTATATCATTATTATTTTTTAATATTGATTAGTGTGCATTTTTGACGCCAAGAAAAGAAAGCCGATGTCTCAGTCAACATTTGTTCTCTATTCTCTTACCGGCTCCGGCTCATGTCCGGCGGAGAAAGCTTTTCTTTTGGTCAAGAAGAAGGCACGAGGGGGGACAAGCTGTCAAGTCCTTAATAGATGATTGGTCTCAAACCAGCTTGAACATTCGATATTAAATAGGCCAAGCTTGTTCAGCACATGTGAATCATCTTGTCTAAGCATCATTAATATTCCTGGGAGCTAAGTACAACTGAATTATGAATGTTTACTCGTCTTCACTCGCTTTAAGGAATGTGGGACTTACTATCTCCAGGAAAGCGAGGAGGAGCGAGAGAGAATCGATGAATCCAAGAGCATGGATGAGGCCGAGTTCATACTAGGTTGAGCCCGAGCTCATTCCCGCCGAGATCGAGCTCATTCCCGACGAGCCTAAGCTCAATGCTGTCGAGCCCGATCTCATTCCCGCCTAGCCCGAGCTCAATCCTAACGAGTCTGAGGTCAATG